AGTCTCTACAATACATCGATTGCGCGTCTCTGACGGCCACATAGTCTCTACAATACACATCGATTGCGCGTCTCTTACGGCCACATAGTCTCTACTCCCCTGCCGCTGCAAACGCCAGCAAAACGCTGGTGAAACGCTGGTGACGCTGGGAACGCTAGATCGATATGCATCCTCTCCCCGGCACTGCCCTGGCGTACAAGCGCTACGCTACGCTGCCGCAAAGTATAAACGCAGCCAAATGACGTCTGCTCCGCCTTCGAGTTGCAAGCATTATTGCTACGAATTAACACATTCCACAAAATAAAACCTGCAATTGTGACACATTTGTCAAAGAAACGTTTGCACTTAACAAGTTGGAATTAAAACTAGTAGATGACAGAGCTGAAGAGTAGTAATTACGGACACAGAACAGCTACACTGAGTTGATCCAGTAGTAACGAAATCTGCAGTGAGAAAAGGGAGTCGAAAAGGCACTTGGCCATGACCAACATGAGGCCTTCAACATCCGATTGAAAATGAGATTTCTAATCGGACGCCGTCGAATGAGCTCGAGGCTCAGTCAGCTCTTCTTCTAATTCTGCAGAGATAAATGCCATTTAAGGAATGAAATAGTTCACTAAATAGCATTAACATGAATAGAAATGAAATTTCATGAACTTTATGCCGAGAAAAGTGATGTCAGTGCTTCCATAGAACTGAGAGCTTCACAGGGTTGAAAAAGGGGGGGACAAAATGATTACCGCTAACCAATTTCCTTGGGACACACCACTTGTATTCGACTACTTCCAAGAACCACAATGGTGCTTTGAAGGACTCATCTGGTTGTAAGCCGCTGATTCACTCGATTTTATGTACGCTTCAAAAAAAGCGCTCACTAATGCGCAATGTCAGCTGGCGAGTATGCCATATTCGGTCGGACGCGCTGGCGTGTCAGGGTGTTGGGTTTGTTGCAGCGCCAAAATATTCTCCACCACTCGTGGGAGAGGCCTAGAGACAAAAATGTTCCGGTTGTTGAATTTTTCTGGCCTTCTCTAGTCAAAATGTCCCCCTTCCGCTCAACGGCAATCCTGGTGGAGGGATGAGGCGGAGGAAGATCTCGCGGTTGACAAGAGCTCTGAGGTGGTGGGGAGGGGGGTGGGGAAGAAGGGTATACTGAA